GAGATTCTGACGAATCCGTCGATCTTGTTTGTGGATGAGCCTACATCTGGTCTGGATAGTTTTATGGCGGAGACGGTGGTGATGCAATTACAGCAGATTGCTCGTGATGGTCGTACAGTGATTGTAACGATTCACCAACCTTCATCAGAAGTATTTGCACTATTTGATCAGCTTTATCTGCTTTCTGATGGTGCAGCAGTGTACCAAGGAAAAGCGTTAGCGTCTGTGGATTATTTCTCTTCTTTGGGATACGCTTGTCCGCCCATGATGAACCCGACAGATTACTTCATGAAGCAGCTTGTCGTTATGGACAAAGCTACTGATGCCGAAGGTGTTGCACGTGTCGACAAATTGAAAAAGGCGTGGACAGAGCACTTGACACTGCCTCCAATTGATTCCACTTCTCATCCACGCGCTTGAAGAAGATCAGTAAGGTTGCAGATCGGTTCGTTCTGGATGACCGAGGAGTGCTGTACAGACTTCCACATTCTGTTTGTGGGAGACCACGAGATGCCGTGGATAATCTGAGATTGGTAGTACCGAGTTCACTCCGGGAAGATATGTTGCATCACGCGCATGAAGACTTCCAAGGTGGACATCAAGGGATCACTCGGACGCATGAAAAGTTACGTACCGAATTCTACTGGCCCGGCATGTATGCGGATGTCCAACATTTTGTGAAAGAATGCGTGGATTGTGCCAGTGGAAAAGGGGCGCCCCCGAATGCTGGACCTTCACCAGGGAACATTGAACCGCGGTACCCTTTTGAAGCCGTCTCTATGGATTTCGTGACTCATATGCCTAGGTCAGCCAGGGGGAACACTTTTCTCTTGTTGTTTCAGGATGGGTTATGTGAAGTGCAAGCCCATGTCGTCTACTACCGCTCAAGACGTCACTGAGGCTTATGAGGAGCAAGTGTTTCAGAGATTCGGGGCGTCTTCCGTGATACGGCACGATCAGGATCCGCGTTTCATGTGTGAAGTGTTCACAAGGTTCCGAGAACTCTTAGGTAGCCGACAACGTGCTACACTCGGATATCGTCCGCAAGCGAATGGG